CAGAGGGATGCCATGTCTACCGGCTAACTCTTTTGCATTAGTCACACCCCTTTCAAAATGATCTAGAACCAGCTTTCTTTTCTCTTCTGCTGTCAAATCTGTCATGTCAACAAAGGAAGCTGTCGGTTACACCAAGGACAAGAGTTGCCTCCCATATTTAGTACCTTACTAGATAAAGTTACTATTTTAAAATTCTATTATCAGTGTTAGGAAACAAAGATTTTCTCAATAATTTCTGGGAAAACTGTACATTTTTATGCTTCAAGGATGAGCCAAAGCCAAAAGGTTACTCCAGTGTCTATGTCGACATCATTTATGTATACCTTTACAGGTACTGCATATGGGTGGCAGATACAATAAGATTATTCCTATCCTCATCTTTGGGACCATTACTGCCTTGGCTGGTCTTCTCGCATTACGACTACCAGAAACGCTGAATAAAAAGCTTCCGGAAACCATTGAAGACGCTGAAAATTTGGGGATGTAAGTTGCAATATGTTTACATCTTCTACGTTGATGTAAGCTAAATTCGTACTGTTACTTTTTTATAACATTGTCAACAAACAGGATAGTGATGAAACTTAAGGTGGACTTTTAACAGTACAATGGACAGGCCGTAAAATGCACTTTATAAGTGACCTTAAACATAACTCCCACCCGTCCCCCTCACAACCAACGGGTAACATTTACCCATTTTCATTGATGTACCAGTAAGTCGTATTACTTTAGGAGTGTCATTTTCCCAAGAGGAATCCCTGGTGAAACCGATGTGATGATATATTCCTGATGTGTCCAAGTTGATTTTAACATTTTTTATTCTTTTTTTTTAATCCCTATTCCTTGGTAATCGGATACAGAGACACAGTGAACGGGCACACACGCAGTCTTCGTTTAATGGAGACGATGGTTCATGAAATGGACACAGCTGCATTCTTAGGAATGTCTATACATGAAACACAGACGGAAGAGAACATTTTAGTGATGAAGTAGACTAATCCATTTGCACATGGATGTTCAAGTTATTCCTTCTTCTGAAGACAGTTTTCTTGTCTTTGTTGTTTTGGTAGCAGAAAGCACGAGTCTGTGTGCAAAGATTTGATTCGTGGTTCGATCTGCTTGTATATTTTAGTCATATCTAATTTTCGTATTGAGTATATAAATGAAACGAGTTATTGCCTTGCATCTCACATCTCAAGTCACAAGAAGACAATCGTTGTTTGTGATGATCATTACACCCTGGGAACTCTGCTAGTTGGATTCCTGTTACTGAGGGGTGAACATTATCATCATTGTCTTTATTGCTAGTTGGATTCTTGTTACTGAGGGGTGAACATTATCATCATTGTCTTTATTGCTAGTTGGATTCCTGTTACTGAGGGGTGAACATTATCATCATCTTTATTGCTAGTTGGATTCCTGTTACTGAGGGGTGAACATTATCATCATTGTCTTTATTGCTAGTTGTATTCCTGTTACTGAGGGGTGAACATTATCATCATTGTCTTTATTGCTAGTTGGATTCCTGTTACTGAGGGGTGAACATTATCATCATTATCTTTATTGCTAGTTGTATTCCTGTTACTGAGGGGTGAACATTATCATCATTATCTTTATTGCTAGTTGTATTCCTGTTACTGAGGGGTGAACATTATCATCATTATCTTTATTGCTAGTTGGATTCCTGTTACTGAGGGGTGAACATTATCATCATTGTCTTTATGTTACTGAGGGGTGAACATTATCTAGTATTCCTGTTACTGAGGGGTGAACATCATCATTATCATTCCTGTTACTGAGGGGTGAACATCATCATCATTATCTTTATTGCTAGTTGTATTCCTGTTACTGAGGGGTGAACATTATCATCATTGTCTTTATTGCTAGTTGGATTCCTGTTACTGAGGGGTGAACATTATCATCATTGTCTTTATTGCTAGTTGGATTCCTGTTACTGAGGGGTGAACATTATCATCATTGTCTTTATTGCTAGTTGGATTCCTGTTACTGAGGGGTGAACATTATCATCATTGTCTTTATTGCTAGTTGGATTCCTGTTACTGAGGGGTGAACATTATCATCATTGTCTTTATTGCTAGTTGGATTCCTGTTAATTATCATCATTGTCTTTATTGCTAGTTGATTCCTGTTACTGAGGGGTGGATCATCATTGTTATGAACATTATCATCATTGTCTTTATTAGATGGATTCCTGTTACTGAGGGGTGAACATTATCATCATTATCTTTATTGCTAGTTGGATTCCTGTTACTGAGGGGTGAACATTATCATCATTGTCTTTATTGCTTTTATCACTGATCTTGTATTTTACTTCCTTTGGATTTGTTTTACCGTACTACTTTGTACGACCATAGTGATACCTTTGTATTGATCTGTATTGATTTGTGAATTTTAGAATACAATAATTATTGTTAATGGAAACACATTTCTTTGTTCTTTGTCGTTTTCACTACTAGTTCTTTTACGGAATGTTTCCCGGTTAACTTTTTAGTTTCAACTTGGGAATCAACACGTAACACATGTACTTTGAAATCATCTGATTAACGATTGGTTCTACCTGGAACGCTGACAACCAGTTGCGTTAAAGAACAAAACGTATTTTCTATATTAATCAACGTATGTGACAAGGTGATGATGTCACTTGGCTGGGTGCCTATTGTGACCTGAATGTGCAATAGAAAATATTTTTCTTTTATATATTTGAGTTTATCGACGGCAGACCGAACAATATAATAGCAATAAGACCATTAAATAATGGAATCAGGACCAAACGGACAGTTCAGTGATTAGTGTGAGCAATGGTCCATGCCGTCGAGGTTTGATCAATTAGCCAAGTCATCAGGCGTCATCCGAGTCATTAGGTCCCATTATGTGTGTATGTTTAAGAGATAAACCTACTGTGTGGGAAAATCACGCGTTCGGTTTTAAATGAACAATTTAGAGCTATTATAATTTCGTTATATACCTCTGATTTTCCCACACAGTAGGTTTATCTCCATTCTACCATGACAATTTTATGAACAATTTCAGTTGGAACTCTTTCTTTGGTTACGAGTCAATACGTGAAGCGGCCTCGCATTCCAATCTCAAGTGGCATCGCCCGAAACGGGGCGATTGGTGGCAAACCGTCAATAACTAACAAACTCCAGATTAAGTAATAACAAATAACGTCGGTTTTTCAATGCATTAATCACCAATAATTAACTGATAAATTGGAAAGCATATATCTAATAAGTTTAAAAAGCTTGGTTCACATTTGAAAATTCCACCGTAGACCCTTTCCCCACCAGAATAATGGTAGCAACCTCATGGCCTTGACCTTTTCTCGGAAGTCATTGTTTACATTCACGTGCAAATTTGGAAAGATGCCACAGGAGAGCCTCTGACAGTTTGTGCAAGGTTAACCTGATTGTATGACTGAGATAGTCTTTGATATCTAATTATTGGTACTGGTACTGGTACAAAATTTAAGAGTAGAGGCGCTTTTGCTGTAATGAGAAGTCCGTGTTGTACCGAATTTAGATACTGTTGAATTTTGCGCCCTGTCAACTTGACGATTTCACGCACCTCTACGTCTGCGTGACACAAGAGTCACTGTGGTGACTCTTCGATCCATTTCTCCAGTGTTGTGAAAAATCTGGGAGTCTACTTGGATAGCAGTCTCTCCATGGAAACTCATATAAATCAGCTGTGCGAAACTATTCACTATCACCTCCGTAACACATCCAGCATTCGCCACCAACTGACCCAAGACACCACCGCTCTGCTTGTTCGCTCCCTCATTCTGTCAAGATTGGACTACTGCAACAGTCTGCTTACACGTGCCTCCAAAACCCAGATAAAGCGCCTACAATCTCTCCAAAATAAAGCTGCCCGTCTTGTTAGCCGTTCTAAGCCGTCCAGTGACGTACAGTTCATTCTGGATTCCTTACACTGGTTACGGATCCATGAAAGAATTGATTTCAAGGTACTCACTCTCGCTTACCAGTGTGTTAACTCCACGGCTCCCTCTTACTTGTGTGATCTTCTCACACCATACACTCCTGCTCGTGCCCTCAGATCCAGTAACCAACACTTGCTGGATCCTCCATCATTCAACCTCAAGACATTTGGTGCACGTTCTTTTGCTTCAGTTGCAACCGCACTATGGAACTCACTTCCACTTAAATTACGTACAGCTCCATCCCTTCAAGTGTTCAAGCATAACCTCAAAACATACCTTTTCAGTCGATATAAACAGTAACTCTCTCCAAGCTCATATTTACTACAATACCGATTCATGTGACTTTTTGATGTGTTTGTTTTTAAACATTTGTGCTTGCTTTGAGCATGCCCCTTTGTGGTATGGAGTATTGCGCAGTATAAGTACCCTTATTATTATTATGTGTGTACTTTGTGCTCAAATCCGATTCTACGGATAATATTTTCTACATTTTGGAAAGTGTTTTGTGACCTAGTGGCTTCAAAGTGTTATTGTAAATCGTGCTACTGGTGCATAGCGTCACCTAGTACCTAGCTATAATGGTGTGACACTCGCGGAATAGAGAGTAATACCACGAAACGAGTAACACGAATCACAACAGACCTTCTTGGTTCAGTATACAATGTCAGGACTGACAGGATGTAGGTCAACCCTCGCGGAAGCCGCCGAGGGTTTCCGGGGATTGCCGATATAACATCGACATTCACTACACTCTTCTTTGTTTTATAAAGATCCTAAAGATATTTATTTTAATAGGAAGGGTGCCACACCGTTTCTTAAACCAACCTTAAATAACAAAATAACATTTTAAAATAACAAAAATAACTAAGCACACTCACACTATCACCTCCCAACAGAGGGTAACTCACTACTCCCGGATAGATACACACAGTCCCGGCAGAGGGTAACTCGCTACTCCCGGTTAGATACACACAATCCGGCACAGGGTGACTCGCTACTACCAGGATGTCTAAATCCAAATACACCTCTCTCTCCTCTCCTACTTCAGAAATACGCGCCTTCCGTTGGCAGTGCAGACCTCAATGAGTTTCCTTGGCGACATATGGAAGTGCCCTGCCAACTTCTGTGCGACGCCCCTATTGTTGGTAACACCAAGGTATGGTGAGTCCGTCTCCAGGAGGAGGTTGTCCTTTGGGGTGGCTAGGAGAGCCTCTTGCTGGCTTGCCTTCACCAGTCGACAAAAGCCGTTGACACTGAAGAGTGTGTTGGGGAAGGCCTCCAACCAGGACATCACTGTCTTCAGGTTCCCATGAAAGCAGTGGAGCACAGTGGTCTGCTCTGAGGAACGAAACCGACCAACAAGTTCACGCAGCCTGGAGTATAAATCTTCTGCCAGGTCGTCTCCTTGTGCTCCTCACACGTGGAATATTAGGGGCAAGCCCTCCCCAGTATTTCCCAGAATTGTCTCTAGGAGCTGATGTTGGTTTTCTAGATGTTGGCGCCAATCCATGAGGTCGTAGCCGATCTCTCCGATGGCTGACACTCTTGGTTCGGCGCACTGCCTGACGAATTTTGACACGAATCCGGGCGATGCCTCTGTGATCTTGCGAGGGTGTATCCCCAGGGACACCTTCCAGGAAGGCCAGAAGCATGTGACGCCACCCACCAGCTTCATCTAATAACTCAGAGCCTGTACTGGTGTCCAATCTACGAGAGTGTCTAGTGGGGACTCAACAGTCGTATCCCGGAACAGCCTCCTGCAGGTCCTATCCGGGTGGAAATGGCTGTCGAATGCTTCTGGGAGGTCCTCATCAGCGGGTGGGATGGATGATGGTAAGCGAACCACAAACATGGTTTCAGTGGTTTTCGAAGGCGTCAGACGGGAGCCTCTCCTCGTCTAACTGCTGACCTGGGTCTTCCTCAGGTGGGAGCCGCTCCACACCGTCTGCCATAGGTACATAATCGGCCACAGCCTGACACTCACGGAAAAGGTCGGCAATCTAGTCGCGCCGAGCTGGGGAAAGGTAGTTAATCAAAAGGGCCAACCACCTTTGGTTGTAGGAGTGCCGCTGACCCGGCACCACAAGGAATGTCGCTGCTTTTGAACTGACTCCACCTGGCTGCCGAACAAAGGGCTCCAAGGCAACCTGAGTATCTCTGAAATTCAGCCCTCGGAATTTCGTGACTTACATTCAAGACTGTCATCAACTCCTCCGGTGTCCCTTATCGCTGCCCAAGCAGCCACAGTGCCAAAGTTTTCAGGATGAACAGGCATGGCTGGATGACATCCTGTGATCACTGTTCTTTTTGCTATGGTCACTCAGGCAACTGTGGGTGTCTTTCCGTTTGATCCGAAGACCATGGGAATCATATGGCCTTCAACCCTCAACCAGTCACCATCCATCTCTGTTGCACAACGATGAGACCTAACGAAGTCAAGTCCCAGCAGTATGTCATCCTCGATGGGTGTCACCTATAACGTCTCACAAAACTTGATAGGTCCTAACGACGGGACCCACAATCATTCCTTCTAATCCCATATCCCTGCCCGCTAGACGAACACTGATCTTCTCTAACACAGGCGGTTTCGGAATGAGGTCCTGGTAAACCAAATCAGAGATAATTGTCACTGATGCCCCTGAATCCACCACAATCATTAACTTCTTGTTCTCAACTTGAACAGGGATCCAGTACGAGGAACTGGATTTCAGCTGGCCTATGAAAATTTCCCTCATTTCTTGTGGGTCAACGCTGGATCCTTGATCATGGTATGATGGTAACTCTGGTGCAGAGTGGGACAGAAATTTGTCCCTGCCTGTCTGTTCCCTAGTCACAGAGGAGGCGACTGACCGCAGTGCACCATCCTTTTCATTATTATTGACCTGAATGGGGGTGGCGACTGACCGCAGTGCGCCATCCCCGCCTGGGATACGTTGTTGAAAAGAGGTGGCGACCGGCCTAGGTGCAAAACTGGGGAGTGGCAATACTGGGGAGGTCCCTGTGCTGTCTGCAACGACTACTAACTCAGGTGTTGCCTGGATTCCAGAACTCGTATCTGTTGAAGCATTGGCAATGGTAGAGGGACCGACTGGTGAACACATGAGGCCCTTAATTTGAGATTGGACCGGACCTAGGCCTACTTGTCCGATCCTTTGCCGTTTAACTCCTTGTCAGAGAATGTTACAGTCTTGCGTGGAGGTGTGTTGGATGTTGAGCGCTGTTGAGTTGTCATCCACCTATTGTGGTCGTTCTGCTCGTGAGAGAGTCGATATTTTGGGCGATGGCATCAAGCTTGCTGTCTCTGCTTGGCGCTGGGCATTGGAGATGGGTGCCTCTCCCTTCGGTTGTCGTGTTTGGGACGAAGGTGATGGCTGACAGGAACATCGCTGTCTGAGTCGTCACGGCCACTTGGCGAGCTCCCCGTGGGGTCCATATACAGCTTGGCTATTGTGCTGGTATCACCACAATTTTTCCAGTGCGTCTTCGACTGTCCTAGGTTGTAGGTTACACACAAGGGATCCCGTATCCTTGTCATTGCATCCATGGCAGATTCGGAGCACGGACTGCCGCAACACAGGCTCCTCTGGGAATTCCTTAAAGGCACGATATGCCAATTCCTTGACCTGATCAGCCCAATCAGCAAGAAACTCGTCAAGGAATTGCCGCAGTGCAGAGGATTCAAACTGGGCAGTCTCTGCCAACTCTGAATGACCAAAACGCTTGTCCATCTTGGCCACAATCTCTTGAAGGAAAGATTGCCCTTCTCCACACACAGCGCGAAGAACTCGCTTTCCTTAACGGCGAGGCAGCACAGCTGGTCTTTCTTGCACCAGCATCTATCGCCCAGCATCTCCGTCTCAGCAAAACGGGTGAACTTGCTGAGGAACGCCTTCCAGCTCCCCTTGCCATCAAACGTTATGGATGTTGGGAAATTGACCTTGAGCTGTTACCTTGGTTGGTGGACTGGGCACCTGCGATCCTGATGCCTAGGGGGTTAAGGTTCGTGTTCCTCAGGATCGTCACTCTGGTCCGAGACGGTCTGTTGCGCATGTCGTTTGGCTATTTGTTGAACCTGGTCGGTAGGTGGTCTACTCACCTTGTCGCCTAATGCCTTGAGAAGGATCTCTATTGTCTCATCTCTTGTCGCCGGCCCCTGTGGTTGTGGTTGAGGTTGTTGCACAAAGGGTTGTGGGGAATACCCGTACCCTTGAGGTGGATATATGTCATAGGGCTGCTGAGCATAGCCCCAAGGTGAAGTCTGTATTTGTGGGGGAGGGTGCGCTTGCATACTGTACCCGGCAGGAAGTTGAGTGTTGAACTGGTGGCACCAGACCTTGCATGGCCTCGCTCAGTGAGAAGGCTCATTTGAGAAGGCTGCAGGATTGTTGAATGCCGCCTGATTGGCTAGTGCAGCTCGTGTCCAGTCAGGTTCTGGTTACCAAGCGCCGTTGTATTTAATAGTAAGGATTGCTGGCTGGCCCCCGTGAGATCGATGGAGGGTGCCTTGTCGTTAGGACCACCCTGCGTTTGAGCATTCAGAGAGATGATCGGCCAGAGGAAACCTGTGCCCACTTCCTGGACCCTAACAGTCCTGTGGTCCATGGTGTGTGTCTCCTTGCCCCAATAGTTTCTATTCCGCGACTGAGGAATTTTCGGCTTCACATCTGGCTTGTTATTGTTACCTTGGAGTGGCTGTGGTGGAGGGCCTTCATGTCCTTTTGCAGCATAAAAACCGCAGATAGCGCTGTTGACACCATCAACGTTGTGTTAATGCTCGCTTGTCCCAAAGGACATCCCATGGGCCCCTTCTTGTAACGTACCTTCATCATCTGCCGTAACATCAGCACCAATAGGGTTCAATTTCAATAGTTGGTGTCAGTAGGTATAGGAGTATTAATATGAGTTAATCGTGACCCTTCCCAGGTGTAACACACGGACAAATGTCAGTAAAAAATAATAATTTGAGCAGACTGCTATGTTAAACAGCTGATAGGATTGCACCCTACAAAATTATTACTGTTGATACAATGTTGTATGTAAGCCACTTAAATAATTAATGCCTACATATGGCGTAACATCAAATGCCACAGCTGATGACAGTACAATGTGAACCTACAGCATTGAGTGCAAAATAACAATTATTAAGTACCAATGTAATTAATGCATGGAAACATATTGCTAAAATGTAGCAAATCCTACAGAAGGGAAGTATTGAATTCAGTAACACAGCAATATATAGTGTGAATAGATTATACCGCAATGCTTCTTACAGTGAAAAATGTAGCTAACTAAGGGGATTCGTGCGAGAGGAATCGCTCGTCATACCCCACGATACGGTATTATCCCCTTAATAAAAATTCGCATATTTATATATATCTTCATGTGGACATTGATCGAGAAGCAGTTGTTCGCATCGGGATGGATGCCAATGGACTCGATATTTACTCAGCCCTGCGTTGAGTGATTCGTCGAGGGAAATTCACGACCCTGTACGATAGCTTAGGTCTTGGGGTAGCCGAACGGTTACGAGGTCTCATGGATACTTTAGTCGATTATAGCCTGGAGACCAGAGAAAGCACCACCCCGTACTCATCCTACTCCTTAGCCTACTTCGAGGAATTTATGACAGACCCCATCCATAAAGTCATAGCTCAATATTACGGCTACGTTTGAGGACGCATCCGACGAGGGTCGCACAACCCATCCACCCAATATTTACCATACGACGGGAGGGGATTCAGACATATAGAACCCGAACAGCACCAATTGATGCAGTACCCCCAGTGTATAACTACTACGGAAGTTTTGTTATATGTAGTGTCATGAAAGAACCAAAATACATAAGGGTTAATTCGCCCAGGTTAGCCTGTCGATGGTTCACCAACCAAAGCCCAAACCTCACGTTTAGATTATGTCGGTAGAATCAGAGTAATTTACATTACTTTGTGTTTGTTTACAGCTTTTCAGGTGGTAAATCATCGCATACACCCACAAGATAACTTTTCTTGATTGGCCTGTTCATATATCCTCGATATGTAACAAATATAGTTTCGTTAACATTGATTTTTCTTACAATATGGAAAAATATGCTCGACATCAGTAGAGATTTTTTAAGCAAGTCATCATACGTTACCGTAATTTCTTACACACCCGTGTGTGAGAAACCCATGTGAAAAAACTGGTATCACACATATGTGTGAGATCGATTTCTAATCCCGCGATTGGCTACTCCATGGTGATGACCTTGGGTCAGGTTATGACGGACTACTTTCCTGATTAAAATTCATTGATAGGTTACTCGTGCTTCAATCGAACAGAAACCTGTTACTCTTGCACAAAATACCCCTTTACACCTACCTGTTATTTTCGCGATTGCAACATTAATAGCTATCTATACAATGAGTCACAAACAGAATAAATATAACACGAATCTATTTATTTTCTAATTCTTTTTATTAAAACTTTTGATTTCATGAATTCAAAATGGCTCGAACAATCAGTGATACCTGTGTAAACAATTATATGAAAATCACCGTTAGAGATAAAGCCTGGGATTCCCTTCGAATATTCAAAATGTACAACATTGGTACTTTCACTGGAGAGATGCGACAAGTTTCCTGTGTCGTCTTGCAAAAATACCTGACACGATAACGCCAGTGCCTGTCCATTGTGAGATCGATTTTCCTCGTTGTTTCTTTGATGCATTGATGAAAATGTCATTTTTCACTGATAAACATGATGAAGACCCACTTCCAGCTCCGAGATACCTATGTGATTCCAATGTTATAAAATTCACTCATACAATCAGAACCAAAAACATTCGTTGAAACAATGTACAACATGGAACGTTTTGCAAGGCTTCTGATCTATTCAATCGAACATGTACAGGAACGGTTGATCTAAACAAAAGTCATTGCTCAAGACATTCCTCCGACGCATGATAATGAAACGT